GGGGGGGAGATACTGCACATAGGGTGTGGAGTCAGAACACTAGGACTTTTGTTTCAGGGCCTCCCATTTAGCCCTATGGCCACTTAATCTTTCCTGTCTACCTGGAAGCCTCACAACTTGGAATGCACTAACAACCTGATTTTGCCCTGCGCATTATCTCCCTGAGCCCTGGTGGTATAGTGGGCAATGCATTGGGCTGCTAATTAATTGATCAGCAGTTCAAACTCTCACTCTGAGAGAAAGATGAGGCTTCCTGCTCTTGTAAAAATTTACGAGCCTCCAAAAACCAGAATGGGCACTGTGTGTCCCCTGGGGCCACTCTGAGTCAGAGCTGACTCAGTGGCAGTGAGTTTGGCTGTTTTGGTTGAGTAATCACCCCAAAGCCACTCCTACAGGATTAGCATAGAGTTTCTCCACTTCATATAGATGGGAATACCCTGCTAGGAGGTGCCCTGGGGGCACTAAATGCCCTATACGGTCACACTGAGTGAGAGCTGACTCAGTGGCAGTGAGTTTGGCTCTTTGGGTTGAGTCATCTCCCCAAAGCCACTCCTACAGGAGTAGCTTCTCTTCTCTTCCACATGGGAATGCACTTCTAGGAGGTACTATGAAACCACGATGTCCTAGTGCCTGTCCACAGCTAATGTCTACTCATCACTATCTCTTCATACTGGATTGGAAATGAGAATTTTTTTGCCCCTGCCCTGCCTCCGTGTTAATAGGATAGAAGTAAGTTCATAGTTTCAGTTAATTTTTACCTCTCTAAACCCAAAGTCACTTCCAGATAGAGTAAAATCCCCTTAGGAAGTGACAGTAAGGGAAGAAAGATGAAAGTTTTGTTTTAAGAGACTAGAATTTGTAGAGCTCAGCAAATTTGGGCTTCTTTGGCAATAACTCATCTACATTATATTTGTACATACATTTCTCGAGTACATTTGGAAAACCTGTGTATTGATGTGTAATCTGCCTCTAAAGTCACAAAAGCCCAAAGCACTGTAGTGCTTGTAACACTCTTCCATATGATTGTAGGTAACTAAATGACCATGGAATCTGGAGCAGAGAACCAGCAGAGTGGAGATGCAGCTGTAACAGAAGCTGAAAACCAACAAATGGCAGTTCAAGCCCAGCCACAGATTGCCACATTAGCCCAGGTATAAAACTACATGGAATAATTTCTCCAGGTTGTATCTCTTCCTAGAGATGATTTTATTTTTATTACAGGGCTGTCCAGAGAATGAGCAGAGACACTCCTAGAATATTACAATTTCTGTTTACTTAGTAACTGTAGTGTAGAAATGACAGCATTAACTCAGTTATAGAGCAATAAACTGTATTGTTAAACATGAATATAGTATTTGTATTGGCATGATTCAGACTACACTTTAACTGATGGATAAATTATTTGCCTCTTAAGTAAGGATGAAAACTGGCTATGACAACTGCTTTTCATATCATACAGCTTTATTTTGGGGATTCAGATAACCTGAACAAGTTAAGTTTAAATACAAAAGGGCTTCAAAAGATTATAGGAAGTGGAATTAGAAGAGAATGACATTTTTCTACCAGCTTTTTGAAGCCCCACTCACATCCTTAGACCAAAAATATAGGGCAAGCAAATGCATTAACATGCAAATTAATTTTCAGTGTATAAGTAATTTTTGTTTCCTCTTTCTGGCAATCTGCTCCTATAGAGATTATAGCCAAGGAAGCCTTATAGGGCCATTACCTCATTTTTCATATACGGTCACTATGAGTCAAAAAACAACTTTATGGTATTGGGCAACACTATATTTTAAACAGAAGTTATGTTTCTTTTTGTCTTAAACATTCTATGTTTAAAGTTAGTCTCTCATCCTTGTTTTTCTTTTATATTTACCTCAAATATTTTCTTAGATCTTAATGTAGATCTATATATTATACTTAATATACATAGGAAATAAATATATTGAGAAAAAATACAGAGAAAGATAGTTAATCTAGAAATCAAATAGCAAATACAAATTTGCTATGGAAGAGAGGAAGCGTGTGATGTTACTCGTTTCACGTGAAGAACTGCCGCCCCCCCATCACTTCTTGGCCTTTTGGCTAAGATCAAGTGTAGTATCTGTTTTTATCAAATGAAGACACTCCCCCACCCCCAGGGAAAACAAGCTGAGCGGAGACTCTTGGGATGTCTAGCCTTATCTTCCCGAAGAGTTTAAAAGTACTTATAGGGTAGTTATACACAAGAATGAGTCTTGAGAAACAGAGTGGGTTTCTAGCTCAGCTAAAGTGTGGACCAGATACTGGACTTGCAGGAATACAGAGGAGTGAGGTACTCTGTTTTCTCTTTAACTCCACGAAGGTGTGCATCCAGCCCTTGGGAGTAAAACAAAGCATTCTGGAGATGGATAAGCTCAGCTGAGGCAGGTGGCAAGAACAAAAGAAGAAAGCTGAGACTCTTATCAATATATGGTCAGGGGACAAAGGGAGCTTGGGTAAAGAACTCTTGAATACTTTTCTTTGGAACCGAGAATTGATAATATAGTCAACTTCTAGTGTTGCCATTTGGAAAGACTAAATCCCCCCCACCCTTTTTTTAAATCATTTTATTGGGGACTCGTACAGCTGTTATCATAATCCATAATCTATCCATTGTGTCAAGCACATTTTTACATTTGTTGCCATCGTCATTTTCATTTTGAGTCTTTGACAGTGATTCAAAATTTTATTTTGATGAGTCTTTGTATCAAGGAGCTTGGGTGATGTAGTGGTTGCTCTTTGGGCTGTTAGCTTCAAGGTCAGCAGTTTGAAACCACTAGCCATCCTTGTGGGGAAAACGGTGTGGGACTTTCTACTCCTGTAAAGAGTTACAGTCTTAGAAACTCACATGGGCAGTTCTACCATATCCTATAGGTCCTATGAGTTGGCATAGACTCAGTGGCAGTGAGTTTTGTATCAGTTTATATCAGTTTTCATCCATTATGTATGCTCCAGGCCCACGTCTTAGGTTTTGGGCAGTTTCTTTAAATGTATTTGGTTCTTGACTTTTTCCTTCGTTTTTGTCCCCTCTACTAATCTTATGATTCCTAGTACTGATCTAATTTCTCATCTCTTCTCTCCTATTTTCTATCAGGTTGCCTTTTTGCTCTATTTACTGGGCGATTTCGTATTCCAACTCATCTGAACAATTTTTGATATTTGTGCTGTAATATTTCCAAGAGTTCTTTTTTGTCTCTGAATGGCCCTTTTGGTTTTTTGTTGTTGTTGTTGTTGTTTTTTAACACTATCCTATTTGTGTAAGGCAGTGTTTCTGTTACTTCTGACAATGTTGGAGGGGTTTCCCCCTTAAGTGTTATTTTTCCCATCTAGGTTTTCTTCTCTAGATGTTATTCTTAGTTTTACCCCTCATTTGTTTTGGCTTGCATCTTTCATATTAGTGGTATTCCTCAAATGTTCTCTACAGGACCAAAAAGTTGTATTGGGAGGTCTGTGAATATGATTGAGACCCAACAACTGTGACCTTCACTATACAGTGAGTGTGGTGGTCCCCAATGTCAGTGTCTTTTAAATATTTTCTTTTGGGTTAGTCAGTTTACCCAAAGAGAGGTTCTTTTAGAGCACATGCTTAGAACCACTTGGGAGAACACTACTCCACTTGCAGCAGTGTCTGGTCTCTCTTGCTGTCTCGCTCTCTGTCTTTCTCTCTCTTGGCTTGAACTTTATCTTTCTGTCAAAGTGGATTAGGCTCATCTACTGGGAGGTTAAGAGGAGATCCAATTGCTTCTCAAAGAGCCTTCAAAGACTTCATTTCCAACCTCTCCTTTCCCTGTATCTTCCAGAGTGCCTAAGATCCTTAGCTTCTTGATGATTCTGTGGCTTTCCCTGCCCCAACTTACAGAACAGGGGCTTCAGAAGTTCATGGAAAATTGGAATGGAAGACAAGGCGTTTTTCCATAGACTTTTTTGAAGCCCCCTTGTAAGTTGGACTTCTGACATCTTCCAAGTTTATTGCCCCTCATCATCTACTTTAAATCTCCAAAATCACTACTATTAATCTCTTGTCCCAGGCTTCTTACACTTAACATGATTATGCCTGTAAAAACAAAAGTCCAATGAAGTTTAAGTGGGGATCAGGAGGGAGCAAAATCATAAGTGAATGGTTGATTTATTATTTTATCAGGCCTTAAAAAGAGGAGTGATGTGATCAAGTTTGAGTATTATGAGACGTAATAATCTGTTCCTGTCAAATTTTTCTCTTTTTATTCTCAATTACAAAGTATTTTTCACTTGTTTATCTAAGTTACCACATATTATACATGTTGGGGTAATTTCCTCTTAAAATCCTGATACTTATCTTTTTCAATATCAGTTTCTAAATACTGGAACAATATAATAAAATTATCCCACAAATTCAAGGTGATTATGATTTGGTCAATAAATAATAAAAACAAATTCAGCCTAACTAGTAAAGGGAGGGAAAAGGAAACATATTAAAACAATAATGAGATACCCTATTTTTGCTTTTAGAATTTACAGAGATTTTTTTTTTTCTCATTAAACTTTGTTTTCATGGGTCTCAAAATCCTGTGACAAATTTGTGGTCAAGTTGTTTTGCATTTAAACAGTACTGATTTTAAAAACTAATAACTTAAAACTGCCACACACAAAAGAAACATATGGTCCACACACATTCTTTTCCTTCTGAAAGTTTTACGTTATTATCATTGTTATTATCAACCAGTCTTTTACTGTGAAACTTAAATGGCCAATTGAGACAAACTGCTGAGACCATTCTTCCACCCCTGATGAAGATTGGAGTGGCAGGCAGAGATTTTTTAAAATAATATTGGTTTCAACTGTGAATATATGTTTTTATGGATTTAAGTAAGGAATTAGGTAATAAAAGGATGTAGCTTTATATCAATGAGCAGATTTGAAAACCTAAATACTGAATAATGATTTGCTAACTGATGTAATTTTTATTGGTATAGTCACTAAACCATTATTAGTGGTATTGAAAGCTAAGTATACTGAATTTTAAAGATGACACATTATAAGAGTTGAACTGTGTGTACCTTAAAGAACACCTAGAAGATTTAGACCAAAAATATGAATAGTAATTTACGCCAAAAATATTAACTGATTAATAGGTGGTAGGAATTGAAGCTATTTTTATTTACTTTTTGTATTTGTGTAATTTTATAAACTTGTAATGAAAGGAGTTGTTAGACTAGAATGATGAGGGTAGAGAAGCACTTGTCTGTTGAGTTTAGTGAGTTATTTTTACCTAAGAGAAACTCAAGGAAGTGGTATGATAATTGCTTCAAATATTAGAAGAGCTTTTATGTGGAAATGAGATAAGATACTCTGAATGACTGCAAGTGTAGTTCTCAAACTTCAATGTAGGAGAACATATTCTTTGGTCAGTCAGAATTTGACCTTTTCAAACAAGTATTCTATATGACTCAAATGTAAATAGTCCATGAATCATATATTGAGACTTACTCCGTAAAAAATAGAACTAACAAAGACCAGAGAGAAAATGATGCCTTTCTAAGTGTCCAGAAATGGGGTTCGTAAACATCTGCCTTCAGTAGGGTCTTCATGACCAGGTATTTAACTGCCTGCTCAATAGAATTAGCTCAGCAAATTGAGCTGTTGGATCCAATCCCCTCATCTTGTCACCTCTGGGACCACCCCCAAACTTCTCCTTACTTCTTGATGAATTGTCTTATTTCAGTTAATGGTCTTCCATTCACTAATTCTCATTTAAACATGAAACTTCTGGGTTATCATCGATTTCTCTCTCACCTCTTTTTTTAAAAATCATTTTATTAGGGGCTCATACAACTCTTATCACAATCCGTACATACATCAGTTGTGTAAAGCACATTTGTACATTCATTGCCCTCATCATTCTCAAAACATTTCCTCTCCACTTAAGCCCCCGGCATTAGGTCCTCATGAGCTCCCCGCTTCCCCCTCCCTCATGAGCCCTTGATAATTTATAAATTGTTATTTTGTCATATCTTGCCCTGTCCCACGTCTCCCTTCACCTACGTTTTTTTCGGTTGTCCATCCCCCAGGGAGGAGGTCACATATAGTTTCTTGTAATCGGTTCCCTCTTTCCTACCCACTCTCCCTCTACCCTCCCAGTATGGCCACTCACACCACTGGCCCTGTAGGGATCATCCACCCTAGATTCCCTGTATTTCCAGTTCCTATCTGTACCAGTGTACATTCTCTGGTCTAGCCAGACTTGCAAAGTAGAATTCGTGTCACGATAGTGGGAGCGGGGAGGAAACATTTAGGAACTAGGGGAAAGTTGTATTTTTCATCGTTGCTACATCACTACCTGACTGGCTCGTCTCCTCCCCGAGACCCCTCTGCAAGGGGATCTCCAGTGGCCTACTCATGGGCTTTGGGTATCCACTCCACACTCCCCCCATCATTCACTATGGTAAGATTTTTTGTTCTGATGATGCCTCATACCTGATCCCTTCGACACCTCGTGATTGCATAGGCTGGTGTGCTTCTTCCATGTGGGCTTTGTTGCTTCTAAGCTAGCTGGCCGCTTGTTTACCTTCGATCTTTTAAGACCCCAGACGCTATATCTTTTGATAGCTGGGCACCATCAGCTTTCTTCACCACATTTGCTTATTCATCCGCTTTGTCTTCAGCGGTTGTGTCGGGAAGGTCTCTCACCTCTTTTAACCACTTGTTTAAAAAGCCCTACCTGGAGCTGTATCCCTCCTCCCCCAAAATGATTTCCTTGTGGCCAGGGACCCACATATTCTTAGTTTTGTAGTTTTCTAATTTTGTCTTAAAAGTTAGTTGTAGTTGTGTGTTATGAATTGATTTCCACTCGTAACAACCTTACTCATTAAGGAATAGCCCTATCATTAAAAAAGAAAAATATGTTACATATTGTAAGTGTATATTCATTTTAGACTTGATGGGCCAGTTTTGTCCCAGCATATGTAGCACATGATATTTTGAAGACTGTTTTTCAAGGCTTGCATATCTTTTAGTCTTGAATAAGTAAATTAATCTGTTAGTGCAGTAGCTATTTCTGTCTGAAATAAAGACAATCCTTATTTACCTACACTTTTATTAGACTCTTTGAAGAACAATACAAAATTGGCTATGAAAGCAGGTAACCAAACCAAAACCAAACTCAGTGCTACTGAGTTGATGCCAACTCATAGCGACCCTACAGTGCAGTGCAGGGTAGAACTGCCTGCTTGTGGGTCTCCGAGACTATAAATCATTATGGGAGTCAAGCCCCATCTTTCTCCCTCGAGCACCTGGTGGTTTTGAACTGCTGACTTTGCAGTTAGTAGCCCAATATGTAATCATGATGCAACCAGGGATCCTTGGGAAAATGTAAAGCACTATACAAATACAGTGGTATGTAGAGTTCAAAAGAAATCAAAAAATGTATGTTATATATTTTATAGCATATTAAAATTGTTTGGGGGTGTTGGGGGTAGAAAGTGGGGACATTTTTCGATCTTTTCCCCCCTACATCAGTGAAGTCTTAACCTAGCAGAACGGTCAGTTCTTTGCTGCTGAAAATGTTTTTCATATGAGACATGAGTTTTCTCAAAATGTCTATAGTGGTAATTTTTTCTGTGTTCAACTTCTTAGGTATCCATGCCAGCCGCTCATGCAACATCATCTGCTCCCACGGTAACATTAGTACAGCTGCCCAATGGCCAGACAGTACAAGTCCATGGAGTTATTCAGGCGGCCCAGCCATCAGTTATTCAATCTCCACAGGTCCAGACAGTTCAGGTATGTGTATACAACATTCTGCATCTACATTTATGACTGCTGTTTACAGCCATATCGCTCCCCTTTTATTTATTATGAAAACAGGAGCAGATCCAGTACAGTTCATTATATTCCATAGTAGCAGAATATGCTGTATTTATCTAGGAACACATAAATAAAAAGACATTTAAGAAAAAGGCTTTATTAAACTATGAAAGAAAAACATTCATTGGAGTAATTAAATACATGGGATAAAGTGGAAATATTTAAGAGACACTGTCTGCTGGAGGGACTAGACAGCAAGTTAGAAATAGGACTCTGGACTGGTTGGAAATGATTTAGTCATGGCCCATGGAAATTGCAGCATACACTGTGTGGCAACCAAATCTCTCACCTGTCATGAGTAGGAAACGGGCAGCGTGCCTCACTCAAAGGATGGTAGGTGACTGACACACTTTCAAAGCAGCACAGTTGGCCCCTAACTTTAAGTGGAGTAATGCTAGCTACCTGTTCCCTACTTGGATAAAACATGCTGCAAAAAGATCTGCTTGCTGTGCAATACATGCACTGCCTTTGTCCCCATGAGCCATGATTGAACAGATCCCAAACAGTTCAAAGCCTTGGCTAGAAATAAAAGAAAAATTGTCACGAAGTAGCTACTTGGAGCTGCTTTAGATGTACCTTGGTTAAGGGAAATTATTTTTAAAATAATAACTAGTTATTTTTTAAACCTAAAATTGGAAGTAGAAAAGTTTTACTCAAAATTAATAAGCTTAAGATACTGTTTGAACTTAGAGATCACTTAACTGTAGGGAACTGAGAATAGTCAGAGCTTGTGGTTGAGTTTATTTTTTAAAAAAGACGAACATTCTTTCAAGTAGGCCATAACCCCAGCATCCCGTTTCATATTTTTTTGCTTCACAGTCATCCTGTAAGAATTTAAAAAGACTTTTCTCCGGAACTCAGGTGAGTCCTAGGCTCTAGATTTGGAGAAAACTGTTACTAGAAAGGAAGACTGTCTCTGTCCTTCCCTCTGCAGTCAGGGCTTCAAGCCAGTTCAGTCATGGCTAACATGGTAGAATCAGCCCCAAATGGGCAGATTTGGAGCAGTACAGCCCCAAATTTGTAAAATATGGATGTGACCAAACTATAAGAAAGATGGGAGAAATTATAGGTTGGAGCCCTGGAACCAAAGACTTGGAAGAGGTGTAGCCTGGTACAGGATTGCCAGCACTGTGGAGAGTGACAGACATTCCAAGGGGTGCAGTTGACTGTCATCTTTGAGCCGGACATGATTGTTTCTGACCAACTCCACCAAGCAGCAGAATTGGTTGCTATGCAGTGCGCATGCTGCCTTTGTTCCAAGTGGGAACAGATCATAATTTTTCCTATTGCCTGTACACCTACATTTTGTAAATGCGTGTCTATTCTGGTCTTGCTTTGTCAACCATGACTGAATCAGGAAGAACTGATTTTAAGCCCTGCTATCAACATGAAATTTCAAGATTAAACTCAACACCTTATAGCTCTTGTAGCCCTAAACTATACTTGCTACTCACACACACCTCCAGTCTGTTGCCTAATTCCTCTAGATAGTATTCTCCCCTCCCCGAAGTGGTAGTCCAGCATTATTCTTAATTACCCCAGAGAAAGGAGGCCCTGGTTCCTAAGATAACTACAATTAGGAGTGGTTGCTAAAATAGTCTTTTTTTTGTGTGTGTGTGAGCCAAAATTTGTCTTTCTAAAACTTTCATATAGTTACCCCAACTTAAGTTCCTGAAGCTAGATCAGCTAATCAAATTGCTTTTCTGCTCCCTCTTCCCCATTTACCACATCTTTCCAATTAAAAAAAAAAAATCTAAATAAAATAAACTCCTGTTTTTCTTCATCTGCTTTTTATTTGGCCTAGCTTTGATTCCTTGTCACACAATCGTTTTAGGAGCTCATACAACTCTTTTCACAATCCATACATACATCAATTGTGTAAAGCACATTTGTACATTCATTGCCCTCATCATTCTCAGAACATTTGTTCTCCACCTATGCCCCTGGCACCAGATCCTCATTTTCCCCCCTCCCTCCCTGCTCTCCACTCCCTCATGAACCTTTGGTAATTTATAAATTTTTATTTTGTCATATCTTGCCCTGCCTGACATCTCCCTTCACTAAGGTGACCAGACATCCCTCTTTTGGCGGGACAGTCCCGCTTTTGGGCATTTTATAAAAGTCCCGATTTTTGGAAAGAATGCACGACAAGCTAGGGAACGGTCTATTTGGTCCATATAGACCAAATTTTTAATCAAGAACCACCCACCCCCACCCCCAGTCAATGGTTTCCCGCTTTAAATCTGGTCACCTTACCCTTCACCCACTTTTCTGTTGTCTGTCCCCCAGGGGAGGAGGTTATATGTCGATCCTTGTAATCGGTACCCCTTTTCCAACCCACCCTCCCTTCACCCTCCCACTATTGCCACTCACACCACTGGTCCTGAAGGGGTCTCTCACCCTGGATTACCTGTTTCTAGTTCCTATCTGTAACAGTGAACATCCTCTGGTCTAGCCATATTTGTAAGGTAGAATTGGGATCATGATAGTGGGGGTGGGGGGTGGGGGAGCATTTAGGAACTAGAGGAAAGTTGTATTTTCCATCGTTGCTACATCACACCCTGACTGGCTCATCTCCTCCCCGAGACCCTTCTGTAAGGGAATGTCCAGTGGCCTACAAATGGGCTTTGGGTCTCCACTCCGCACTCCCCCACCTCATTCACAATGATATGATTTTTTGTAGCCGGGTACCATCAGCTTTCTTCATCGCATTTGCTTATTTACCCGCTTTGTCTTCAGCGGTTGTGTCAGGTGGATGAGCATCATAGAATGCCAATTTAATAGAACTAAGTATTCTTGCATTGAGGGAGTACTTGAGTGGAGGCCCAATGGAAGTAGGACTTCTTAACCTGAAATTTACAGAGAGACAGAAACTTAGTTATGAGGTTCTGTTTGATCTTGTGTTTTAAAGCATTTCTGAACATTGGCAAAATGGTTAAACTTTAATGGTTATTTGTGCTGATTCACGGTGATTAATGTTTGTAATAAGACAGTAACTCAAGCACTTACTCAATGCAAGAGCACGTTCTATTAAATTGGCATTCCAGGATGCACACCTTCTTGACACAATAGCTGAAGAAAAGTATGAGCATAAGCAAATGTGATGAAGAAAGCTGATGGGTGTTCAGCTATCAAAAGACATAGCGTCTGGGGTCTTAAAGGCTTAAAGATAAACAAGCGGCCATCTAGTTGAGAAGCATCAAAACCTACATGGAAGAAGCACACCAGCTTGTCTGACCACGAGGTGTAGAAGGGACCAGTTATCAGGCATCAAAGATAAGGTGACTAGATTTTAACATTGCTAAAGCGGGACACCATTGATAAAACTCATATCCTGGCGAAATAGCCACATGGCAGCCAAAAACCGTATACCCTAGCTTGTCGTACATTCTTTCCAAAAATCGGGACTGCCCCGCCAAAAGCGGGACG